TTTCATTGTCATTTAATTCCATGTAAATTTTGAGCTCCTTTTGAGATTTTGTCTTTGACCCACAGATAATGTAGATATGTACTCAATTTCCAGATGTTTGGGGATTTTCTTTTATGTTTCTGCTATTAATTTTTAGTTTGATTTCATTGTGATTAGACAGCACACTCTGTTTGATTTCAATCATTTTACATTTTTGAGGTCCGTTTTTGGGTCCAGGATCTGGTATACATTAGTATATGTTCCCTAGGTATTTGGAAAGTGTGTATTCTGCTGTTGTTGGGTGATCTATGAGTGTCTGTTAGATTCAGGTGGTTGGTTGTGTTGTTGAGTTCTTTTCTAACCCTGCTGATTTTCTAATTCTCTTTATGTTCATTATTTAAAAATATCAAATTGCAGATACTAACAGTATCAATAGTTAATTTTATGAAGTACTTACATGCAAACACTTAAGTTTTTGCATATGTTAATCAGTCAATCCTCCCAATAACTCCATAACATACTATTTTTACTCTCATTAAATGTTTTATGACATATTTTCATTTATTTGAAAGGAAAAGAGAACAACTTAGCAAGAATGTGTGAGAGAGAAAGAGAGAGAGAGAGAGAGAGAGAGAGAGAGAGACCTTCCATCTGCTATTTGACTCTCCAGTTGCCTGCAAAAGCCAGAGGTAGGACAGGCAAAATCTAGGAGCCTAGAACCCAATCTGGGCCTCCCATCTGTGTGGCAGGGACCCAACCATTTGAGCCATCACCTGTTGTTTTCCAGGGTGCACAGTAGGAAGCTGAAGTTCAAAGTGGAGCTTGGAAGTTAACCCAGGCACTCCCATACAGGATATAGATATCTTAAGTGGCGTCTTAACTGCTGTGCCAAACACCCACCCCTACCACTGTAATTTTCTGAGTCTCAGAGAGGTTAAATGACTTGCCAACTTGCCACCAAATTCACACAGCTAGGAATTGGCAGATTGGCATTCCACTCCAAGGTTGTCTGACCTGTAACTATGTGCATGTAGTCCCTCTGCAATTTGCTATTTGACCAGGATAGCAATAGAGCTGATCAAGTTCATTCCAGTTCAGATTTAAGTAAGGATACACATACAAGTAGTACAGTGGTGGCTATTGGGGAAATCCTACCAAGTTGTGGTAGGCAGTCTCTAACGTGGTCCCCTATGATTCCTGCCTCTTGCTATTCATACCCTGTGTGGTCTATCCTAGGACTGAGGGCTAGATCTACTGACTCAATTCTAATGGATACAATAGAGCAAAGGTGATGGGATAATGCTTCCAAGACTAGGTTGTAAAGGCACCATGGTTTCTTGTTTTCTTGGTTTCTTGCTCTCTTGTTTTCTCTTTCACCTGCTCTAAGAGAAGCAGGTGCTGTGTTTTGAACACCCCATGGAAAGGCCCATGTGGCAAGGAACTGATGCTTTTGGCCAACAGCCAGAGAGAACCTAAGGCCCTGCAACAGTCTTGTGAATGAGCTGGAAACACATCCTCTCTAACTCAAGCCATACATCCTCACAACTGGGGCTCAGCTGGCACCTTGACTATAGCCTTGTGAGAGACTCTGAGCCAAAGGCATCTAGCTAAATTGCACCTGGATTACTGACCTAGTGAAACTGAAATTATAAATGCTTATTTTTTTAGGTGCTACTAAGTTTTAGGTTAAAGCATGTAAGAAAGAGAGAAAGCAACATCAGGGAGCCAGACTTTTGGCTGCTGAAACCTGTTTTTCTTGGGGCCAATACTCCAGGAAAGTCATGAGATGGTAGAAACCACTGACAGATTGGGACAAAAAATATAAGAAAAGGATTATTTAAAAAGTTATCTTATTTTTATTTGAGATGGAGAGAAAGGAGAGAGAGAGAGAGAGAGAGGGGAGAGAGAGAGAGAGAGAGAGAGAGAGAGTCTTCTATCCACTGGTTCACTCCCAAAATGCCCACAAGCCATGATTGGGTCAGGATGAAACCAGGAACCCAAAACTCAATCCAGATCTTCCTCATGAAGGCAAAGATGCAAATGCTTGAGCCATCATCTGCTGACTTGCCGAGTGTGCATTAGCAGGCAGCTGGCCTGAAAGTGGAGCAGGGACTCAAATCCAGGCACTCCAGGATGGGATGTGGATGTGAAAGTAGCAGCCTAACCTGCCGTATCACAATGCCTGCTCCTCTCATGATTCTTATATGCCCACAAGAGGGCAAATGAGGCAGAGGAGAAAAAGACATGTCTCAGCAGAGATAGACATGGATGAGGGGTTGGAGGGTGGAGAGAGACATGCGGACAGTCTAGAAGCTGCATCATGTTGTCTCCTGGGAGGCAGAGGCTTCTTGTTGCCACCAGTGGGGACATAAAAATTAGAGAAGCTGTCAGGCCAGGAGCCAGTCATGACACTTCTGTGGGGAGAGGAGAGATGATCTTGTGGAATGGGTCTGCCTGGAGCCTCTCTTGGATCTACCACCTTTGGAAGATTGAGGATTTAGCAAAGGAGCCAAGATAGTATGAAAGAGAAGATGTATCAATGTCTGGCAGCTTTAAAGTTAATTAAATCATCGACATCCCCATTGTTCCTGCCTCTAATAACACCATTAGTGGGAAAGGGGCTTCAAAGCAAAGTAAAAGCATTTATTTATTTATTTGAGAGAGAAATCTCTTCCATCTGCTGGTTTACTTCCCAAATGCCTGCAACACTGGGACTGGGCCAGGCTGAAGCCAGGAGCCCGGAACTCGATCAGCATCTCCCATCCTAGGTGGCAGGGATCCAAGTCTGGGGCCAGCATGTGCTGCATCTCATGGCGTGGGTTAATGGGAGCATGAATCAGAGTGGGGGAGCTGGGACTTGAACAAGGTTCTCCTATATGGGGTGTGGGCATTCCAAGAAGTGTCTTAACTGCTGTGGCAAATGCTGAGCCCGCGAAGACATTTCTGTTCACAAACATGTAACATGTAAGACATATGAATATTGACCTGCTCCAGTCACTGCTACCAGACCACCTTTGCAGCCCCATTGCTCCCACAAAGACCACGAGGCCTCCTTTTATTCTGTTTCTGGTTGCTGTCCTGACTCAGTGGCAAAGTGGAGGCACGATTGGTAACCATCACAAGCAAGAGTGAAGGAAGTCTGGCGAGGATAGTAGAAGCACAGAAGATGCCAGACTTACCTGCCCCTGTGAAGACACTCTGGTGGAGGACGAAGGAGAGGAGGGAGAAGCCTTTCCTCACTCACCTTTGCGAAAATAGCCTACTCTTAATTGAAACTTCTTGCTCTTGCTCCCAAACCAGCTGCCCTAAATCGACAGTGGTTGTCCATGCCTCTTCCTTATCTTGTGGCTACCCTGTGTCCTTTCTTCCTTGGAAACTGAACTTGAGTCACAAGGCAGTATGTGGGTGGTACAGACTGTGCTTGGTAACAGTCAGAACCCATGAGATGACTTAGCAATTCATTATTCAGAAATCTTTCCACTGGATTCTCATTCACAAATATTTGAATACCTATGGAGTGCCAGTGAAGATTTGGCAGTGAACAAGACAGATGAGTCTCTGCCCTTGGAACTGGTACACAAATAAGACTAATGATAATGCATAAATAAGACCAACAATAACCGCACAGACAGGAAGTCTAGATGTTATAAAGCAGAGGCTTCCCACATGGAAGATACATTCTAAAGTCCTTCAATAACACACAAGGTTGTATTTACAAATAATAGATGTTCTGTGCTTGACATTGTTTTTATTTTTACCCAACCTTGAAACAACAGATAATATGCTGCTATGTATCCATTAAATATTTTATATAAGTTAACAATTTCTTATTAGCTTTTGCTTTTGTCTTAGTGGGATGAAATGATGTTTTAAGAGTATGCAAATTGCTCAACAAACTGAGTAGGAATTGTTAGAAAATTTCATTACATAATATTTATAAAGTTAAGGATGATTTTGTGGGCTTGGTAGTGGCAGAGAATCAAATTTTGCAAATTTAGCACATTCTTGACATTTTTGAGGAATATTTTTCAAGACCTAGGAAACTCTTCAGAGCTGCAAATCCCACTAGAGCACAAAATTTCCCCGTAAAAACACAGTGAAATAGGACTGAAATATATTCAGATATCCTTTGTATTTTTAAGATTTTCTATGAATGCAAGGCTAGTGAAATTTGTAGGGTTATTTGCTGGCTAAGAATCAAAATTTCCTCAGACTCCTTCATTGTATTACTAGTACTAGTGGATGGTTTTCTTTAAAGACTTTTTTTTTCAAACATGAAAGTCAAGGTTTAAAAATAACATACTATGACAGTCATTATATTCTTGACAATCAATAGAAAAATATCAGAACATAGTAAGGTCTTGGTCCATAAGGCTGGCCCACTTCTGGGAAAGGGACCCACTTAACACACGAGCTCAGAGGGCTCATGATTCAAGTGAATCATGTGGAAAACGACTCTGAGTCATCAACTACTAGGGTTACCAAAAAATAAATGGAGCTGAGAATGTCAGATCCACAGATACTAAGGGCTATTTGGTTTCTAAATCATAGACCTATAGCCAGAGGACATAACGTCATCGTTTGTTCACCTCTTCATTGTTGTAGCACAAGTGAGATCATTTTAAGGGGGGAAGGCAAGTCAATGTAGAACTTTCCGAGCTGGATATAAAATAGGAATTCACTTTGGAACACTACAAATTGAATTTTTAGTCTTTTACCATATATCTGCTGTTATCATTGGCTCCTAATTTGTCACAAACTCATAAAGGCTCTTAATCTCAGTTTCTTCTCCTTCAATGAGAGCTGGTAATTCTAAGTTGCAAGAGCAGAGGTGGAGATAAGCTGACCCAGGGCTAGGAAGGGTCTCTATGACCCTGAAAGCAGCCCACCACATCCAGGTGTTGTTATCATTCAATAAAGTATCACTGGCTTCACATGCCCACTTTGTTCCTTGAGTAGAATAGAAACACACAGATCTACCAACTAGTTGAATTGGACATTGTGTAAAGGGTTTAACTTACTTCTTTTACAAACCACTGACAAAAGGTAGGGCCAATCCATTCTCTTGCATGAATACCACAGTCTATCCAGACAGCTCTTTTGTAAGCTCGTGATCTTCTGCCCAGCTGAAAACAAGAGTATTCACAGTAACTAACTCAGGCTTTTATTTTTTTGATTCATTGGCCAGCGTAATTTAATAAGGTTTCAGCATAATTCTTCCCTACAGTTTGGTTCATTAAGTAACATGCAAAAAAGATAAAGAGATTTTCTATCTATGTTGGAAGTCTAGGCTTGTTCAAGCAGAAACAATAAATTTATTGCCCTAATTATAATCAAAGAACTAGAAAATATACAAGGCTGGGGCAATCTGTAAGCGGGGTTGTTTCTCCACTTTAATATGGTCTGTGACTGTTAAGTAAAAAGTTCAGTTTCCTCTCTCCCTCTCTTTATTTATCCCAAAGAATGTTTCTTAAATGTTCCCAAGGAATATTTCTTAATGAAATAGCTGTGTTTTATAGATGGATAAAGTCAAATTTTATTACACCATAAAATGGAGATGTACAAGGTTATTTCAATAAGCTCGTGAAAAAATGGAATTAAGAGTTCATTTTGGTACAAAACATTTTGAAATCCATGCATAGCTTTTTCATTATACACACTTCTCATGAACTTTTGAAGACCCCTCATAAAACAACTTGATTTATAGAATCAAGTGGCTGATTTTCCCTTGCAATCTGACTCTCTTAGTATTACTTCTAATCTCATTTCTAATGCATTTCTATCGGTAGCTCTTGGCATTATATTCATAGGGGTTCTGGATTTCATTCATTCATTAATTCTCTTAGCTAATACTTCAGGAAATCATTTTTAAGGTCAGACACTGTGGTCAGCACTGTAGATTCCAAAATAAAAAGACAAGGAGGATGAATATATAAACAACCAATCAACTATTATTGATGTGAGTATCTACAAGTTACCATGGGAACAAAGGGGCTATGCTGACTTTTTTTTTTGGACAGGCAGAGTTAGACAGTGAGAGAGAGTGAGAGAGTGAGAGAGAGAGAGAGAGAGAGGGAGAGAAAGGTCTTTTTTCCGTTGGTTTACCCCCCAAGTGGCCACCACAGCTGGCGCACTGTGCTGATCCAAAGCCAAGAGCCAGGTCCTGGTCTCCCATGTGGATGCAGGGCCCAAGTACTTGGGCCATCCTCCACTGCACTTCCGGGACACAGCAGAGAGCTGGACAGGAAGAGGAGCAACCGGGACAGAATCTGGTGCCCCAACTGGGACTAGAACCCCGGGGCGCTGGTGCCGCAGGCAGAGGGTTAGCCTAGTGAACCATGGCGCAGGCTACACTGACTTTTCTTAGGGAATAAAGTAAGGCTTCCCAGAAGAGGAGCATTTAGGTAACCTGGGCAAGACTTGAAGCTTGCTTGGCAGAAAAGTTGTAGGAAGGCACCTCAAGCTTGGAGGAAAATGTTAGTACACTGTATCGACGGACTACTTCTGTAGTTTGTGGAAGGAATGACAGCTGAATCTGAACATGACAGCAGCGAACTAATGAAGTCCTTGGACACTGTGTAAACAAGATGAAGGTTGATCCTGCATTCCCCTGGGGACTTCTATGTGTGCCGCATTCATGTGAACTTCTGTTGGAGAGCTCTCACTGACAGCAGGGTGGAGGATGGGTTAGAGGATGAGAGGACCAAAGGGAAGCTCAGACTGAGGTCACTACTGCCGTAGTCTGGCAGAATAGATACAGGGGTAAGTTAGGACAAGAGAAGAGTTTTGGAGCAGAAACTATTTAGGAGAAAACTATTTAGAAGAAAGTATTGGAATGTTTTGGTGGTAAATTTAAATACAATAAGCAGATAATGTAAAGGGGAGGGATTTGGATGATACTCATATTTCTGAATTGGGAGGATACTGATGCCATTCTGAGTTGGAGGTGCTTTTGTGAATATCCAGGTGAGGGTGTCAAAGAAGCAATGATGTGTACAGAGAATGGACTCCACCGCATAGAAAGGTCTGGGATGATGGTTGAAACCATGGGGCAAATGTGCTTATTTAGAGAGCGTTCGGAGAGTGAAGACAGAGCTGAAGGTGGAGGCTTGGAGGTTACCAGAATCTAACGAAAGGACAAGGGGAGAGGAGCCAATGAATGAGACTGGAGAGATGGTCAGAGAAGGCAGGAGGAGAAGGAAGTTGAAGTCATTACTGATCTTGGCAAGAGCGGGGTAGAGATGGTGGCTAGAGGTAAAGGTGTTTAGAATTTGGCTGAGCAAGGATACAAAGCTACAGATCAGAGGTGAGAAAGGGATGCAGACTCAAGGACTGAGAACAACGCCTACCTTTTATACATTTCTAGTTTGTTTTAGTTCATTGCCAGTCATGCCAGCTCACAAATAATTTTGAACAATAATTCTATGTTAACAACAGTATCCCTTGGAATACTCTTGGATAAGAATATAATGTGATTCACTTAACTAAAGAAATTTTTTTCTTAAATTATCAGTTGATGTTACTTATCAGATTCTATAAAAGATCATTTCATTTCTTTTCCCTGTAAGTCAAACTTGAAAAAGATAAATGTCTGGTAATCAGTTTATATTTAGTTATTTCTTATTTTTACCTTTAAGATAAAAAGAGATCTTCCCTCATATGATCTTCCAATAGAGAACAAATGAATAAAGCCTGAATAAGTTTTATTCAAATGATGCATCCAATCTTGAATCTAAAAGCAAATAAATAAAACCATATCAGACTCTCTCACAACAATGGGGATTTTAGAGAACAAAAGGAAATATAAAGATGACAGTGGGTCTCAGGATTCGGAGTATATGGAGTAGAACATGGAACAGAAAAACCAATGTACTATTTTCAATTTTTTTGAGATACTTAAAATTACATTTTATTTTTCTGCCTTTATAGACTGTAGTTTATGTCTCTGTATTGTTCCCTTTCTAAAGCATGCCTTTTACTACCACATACCATTAGTATGAGGATGGCAGTTTTACAGAAAATTAATTGATATGCGCTGGTTTCTTTCTGAAAATCAAAATTTATTTCAATTTTTCCACAAGTATTTAAGAGGAAAAGAAATAAATCAGCCTCAGGAAAACCATCTAAACTACCTGAAAGTGTTTTTAAAGTCCCATATATTGTAATCTCTGTCACTGAACAGAAGATGCTAAGAAAGAGGTATTAGCTTTTGCTTTTAAAGGTTATTTTACTGAGCCCCAGATTGGAGGGCATACTCTGAATAAATTCTCCACTGATAGTGATGCATTTGCATCGATTCATTCACACGCTTATCTGTCATCTGGAGAAGGTCTATTTGAGATGGATGAGTAAGGTGTGTAGAAAAATGGGTGACATATCTGACTCAAAAGCCCTGTAAGGAATAAAGAAGTAACACAAAAGTGTTCCACTGCTCCATGATGTGAAAGGGTCTGTGCTGAAAAGATGTATAAATATACTTAGGGAAGAACATATATTTTCTTTTCTTTCTATTCTTATTTGATGTAATGAGTAGGATACACACACACACACACACACACCCCAAACCCTCCAAAAGCACATGGAAAATTCTCATCACTTTTTAAAAAATATTTATTTATTATTTACTTGAAAGTCAGAGTTACAGAGAGAGGGAAAGACACACACACACACATGCACACATGTGCACACACAGAGGGAGAAAGAGAGAGAGAGAGGGAGAGAGAAAGAGAGCAGGAGAGATCCATCTTCATCTGCTGGTTCACTCCCAAGTGGCCTCAATGGTCAGGGCTAACTGGGCCAGGCAGAAGCCAGGAGCCAAGAGCATTATCCAGGTGTTCCACATGGATGTCAGGGGCTGAATCACTAGGACCATCCTCTGTTGCTTTCCCAGACTCTCAGCAGGGAGCTGAATCAGAAGTGGAGCAGCCAGGATATGAATCTACATCCATTTGGAATGCCAGCGTTGCAGGAGGCAGCTTTACCTACTATACCACAATGTCAGCCCTGTCATTATCTTGTAAATACATTGTCTATGAATTTTTTCAATCTCTCTTGAATATGTGTTTACATACTTCTATGCATATCAATATCTTATATTTTAAAAATTCAGCTTTTTATAATGCACATTAGTAGCACTTCCTTGTACCAAATTAACTAAAACTTTTCCGTTGCTTCTAATTGCAAGCTTCTTCTTTTTTTTTTAACAGGCAGAGTCAGTGAGAGAGAGCGACAGAGAGAAAGGTCTTCCTTCCGTTGGTTCACCCCCCAAATGGCCGCTAAGGCCGGCGCCTGCGCCGATCCGAAGCCAGGAGCCAGGTGCTTCCTCCTGGTCTCCCACGAGGGTGCAGGTGCCCACGTACTTGGGCCATCCTCCACTGCCTTCCCAGGCCACAGCAGAGAGCTGGACTAGAAGAGGAGCAACCAGGACGGAATCTGGCGCCCCAACTGGGACTAGAACTTGGGGTGCTGGTGCTGCAGGTGGAGGATTAGCCTAGTGAGCCACGGCACTGGCAGTTGCAAGCTTCTTAAATGTATATTGGCACATAAATTATTTGGAAATCATTTTAAAGGGAGAATTGTCATCAAGAGAACCAAAAATATTCTTAAGAATATAACAGGATCTCATCAATTTTGTATCTTACATTCCTTTGTTCAATTCAGGGGAAGCATGGAAAAATGTATGTATTCATTCATTCTGTTTACCTGTTTGCCACTCTTTATATAGTGGTAAATAAGAAAAAAATGGAAGTTGTAGCTTAGGGGAGAAAGGCATTAACTAAACAATCATATAATTACATAAGTAAGAACTATGGTAGAGAGCACATCCATGTGATATGGGGACATAGGATGTGCTGGGGACTGGCAAGGTGGGGGTGGTTTGATCCAGTTTGAAGAACAGAAAACATCTGCCTTCTTGCTTATGCAGAGACGTGAAGGGTAAGCTGTTCCAGCAAGCAGTCAAGGATCTGACAGTGAAGATGGGATTGTCATAAGTCTTTCTGATAGAATAAATTTAATGCATGACCAAAGGGTCAGAGGTGCCACAGGTGGCGTTTGGCCTTTTGGAGGTCTCAGCTTTGCAGAGGGTGTGCACAAAGATCAATGTGTACCTCTCAGTCGAAGCATTGCCCTCAAACTCTGGCTCACTCAACTCTCCGTGGTGTTTTAGTGAAGGCCTTTGTGATCATAGCAACAACACCTTCATCTTCCACTGCACTTCCTTTACATGGGAAGGTTGGTTAAAATAAGTGGAATTCAAACAATTTTCATACTTCTAAAACAGAATTAAAAAGCTTAACTTGGGGGAAGGTGGGCATTTGGTGCAGTGCTTAAGATCTGGCTTGAGATCTCACATCACGTATCAGAGTACCTAGGTATGAGTCCCAGCTCTGCTTCCAATTCCAGTTCTCTGCTAATGTGTACCCTGGGAGGCAGCAGGTGCTGGCTTACATACCTGGAACCCTGTCACCCATGTGGGAGACCCAGATTATGTTCTGGGCTCTTGGCTTTGACCTGGACCAGCTCTGGTTGTTGTGGGCATTTTGGAATAACTTGTAGATGGAAGATTTTTCTTTCCCTGCCTTTCCAAAAAGTAAAAATAAATAAATAGTATGTCAAAAAAAGACTTAATGAAAAAGATCAGTAAACTGAGGGTTTAGGCCATATGAAACCTGTAAGTCTCTGTCTTACACTTCTCTCCAGATCTTTATTTTTTTTTTTTTATTTATTTTTTTTATTTATTTTTTTTTTATTTTTGACAGGCAGAGTGGACAGTGAGAGAGAGAGACAGAGAGAAAGGTCTTCCTTTGCCGTTGGTTCACCCTCCAATGGCCGCTGCGGCCAGCGCGCTGCGGCCGGCGCACCACGCTGATCCGATGGCAGGAGCCAGGAGCCAGGTGCTTTTCCTGGTCTCCCATGGGGTGCAGGGCCCAAGCACCTGGGCCATCCTCCACTGCACTCCCTGGCCACAGCAGAGGGCTGGCCTGGAAGAAGGGCAACCGGGACAGAATCCGGCGCCCCGACCGGGACTAGAACCCGGTGTGCCGGCGCCGCAAGGCGGAGGATTAGCCTAGTGAGCCGCGGCGCCGGCCTCTCCAGATCTTTAGACGTAACTGATAAGGATGCTCTTAAGAAATAAGCAAACAAACACCTCAAAGCTCCCTCAATTACTTACCTCTTCTAAGGAGTGGTACACCTCATAATTATAATCAGAGAGGGATCTGCGATTTCTCTGGGTTCTCAAAATGCTTTCCTTTTCTAGTGCTTTCTGAAGATCTTCTATGAGGATCCTGGATTTGAAACAATAGACATGATGAAAACTAGACTAAGATAATAACAAGAATATATAAATAATATATATTATATATATAAGTATATATATAAACAATATAAAAAAATCATACATCTGTGAAACGAAGGATCACAAAGACTGACATTTCTAAAAATACCAGATTTTGGGAAAATATTCTTTTTCATGAAATAAGAACTGCTAAATAAATGGTATAATGAATTGAAAGTATAAAACTACAGGCATATGTCATCAAATAATAATAGTAGTACGAATAGCTACCACTGTTGGAGCAGCTTTCACAACTGAATGATAGCTACATGTACTTAAATTTGTTGAATACTTACCAGGAGCCTGATTTTATGTATTTTATGTCAAGGATCTCAGTTAACAGTCCTATGTGGTAGATTCTATAGTTATCACCATTTTTAAAATGAGAAAACTGAACCTCAAAGTGTTCCAAACTTGCCAATGTCATTGCTGGTCAGTGCAAAGCCAGCATTTTACCTTGGAACGTGAACCTAGTTTCCATCTTGAGAATCCCAGCCCAGAGTGACATAATGAAAACAACATCAGCTGCTCCCCCGATTTCCACTTCTCACTCCCCAGCCTCTTTCTTGCTTCTTCTATAGCTCACACCTCTTTCTTCACTGAAAGATATGTCTTTCCATCGCCTAGTCCAATTGACCCAAGACTCAGAAAGAAAAAGGAAAGGAGAGAGCCACAGTGCTCACGAGGAAACTGAAGTGCCCAGAGTTGTACAGAGCCATCTCACTGCATGCTAGTGTCAAAATTGCCAAGAGTTCAGCTAATCAAAGTGAATGTATCTGGGAAATGAAGGCTGAGGCCAGGACAGAAGATCCCAGGCTCACTGAATTGTGTGGAATCAGTCCCAGGAAGAGTCAGATATAGGTTTGACTTCCCCAAACTCACTGGTCTCCACTAACTTGAGTACAACACTGTTAACAAGGCTCCTCACTCATTGGCAATAGGTGTCACTTGGGATGGGAATACATTTTGAGAAGTGTGTTTTTGGTTGGTTTTCATAGAGTATAGGCACACAAACCTAGATGGTATAGCCTACTTCATACTGAGGCTATATTTCAATCTTATGAGACCACTGTTATAAAAGAGGAATTGAAAAAGTTTGTGGGATATGGACTTAAAATATGTTTATTTTGACTCCCAAAAGGAACCCTGAAATCCATGTTTTTAAGGGGTCTTCCCAAAATTCAAGAAAAATGCATATTATGAGCAGATTTAATTTTTTCTTTTAATTTAAGGGTGGTGGTATATTGGAGAGTGAACAATATCACTTGCTGGGCCAGCAGAGCCAGAACTCAATCCAATTCTCCCACAAGGATGGAAGGGACCCAACTATGTGAACCATTTCTGCTGCCTCTCAGGTCTGCATTAGCAGGAACCTAAGGAATCAGGAGCTGAAGCCAGGGCTCAAAGTAGATACTCCTATATGGGACATGGGCATCTTAACAGGAATCTTAATTACTAGGCCGGATGCCTGCCCTTGGACAAATTGTATTTGTGGTCTCTCATTGAATGAAACATTGTTATACAGTGTATGATTGCAAACATTTTTATTTAAGAGACCCTCAGTGATTTTTTTTTTCTGGGCCATGCAGGTGGCTAGAAAGCTTTGCTTTTGTATTTTATCTTTTCCAAAAGAAATTATTTCTTAATGGCTTAAGTGCTATTAAGACATGTAATGGCATCTTGAAATGACTTTCAAGGCTGAGCTGTATAGCCACTTAATTAAGACAAATCTTGAATTGCCTGAATAAATACTTTCTGGTTCCAGAGGGAACCAAGAGGGTCATGCTGAGTGTAGGACATTCCTCTCGCTTCATGCATTCATTATTGGGTGCCCACCTTGTATAAAGCTTTTAGTGAGGAATTGATCATCCACATACTCTTCTTTATGTTTCAATTTTTGACTTTAAAATGGGAAACACTTTAGAAATCAAATGAGCTGGCACACAACTTGGGAAACTGTCTTGGCAGCTGCTGGTGTTGCACCAAATGTGAGAGGAACATTAAGTCATGCTCTAAAGACTGGCTGTATCAGTGTTTTCTCTCTTCCCTCAAGGTATGAAGCTATACTACAGATAAGATTTGTGTGAACTAAAGAATGTATCAAGATTCTCAGGTAGGTCTTAAGCTCCAAAAGAGCCCCTGTGTCAATGCCCTTTCTTCCTTGTGCCAGCAGAGACTCTGGATGGACAAGGAGGATGTTGGTTTGGTTGGGGCTACGGATGTACTCCAGTCATTGCAGGTGAGCCTCCGGTGTGTTTCCCTCTCCTGGGTCATCTATCCATTTTCCTGCCACTTTTTTTCTGCCGCAAGAAACTAAGGGAAAAAAATCACAATGGATTTGCCAATGTCTGCAATCTGTACAAGAATCTCCTGAATTTCTGGTTTCATATGTCCACAAAACTTCGTTATGGCAACCCTAGCAAACTGGTAGAGTCTGCTGAGTAATACAGGCTGCGCCCTAATTCAGGCCCTAAGAGACAAACCTTAAGGTGAAAAGCCAGTGCTATGACAGCTCCAGCCTCATTTCCTTGCGAGATATGGTACTGGAAACCAGCAGATTGATGAGAAGACTATGGAACTGAGTCCCAAATGGTCTTCCTAAATTGTGGTATTTTCTTTCTTTCTTTCTTTTTTTTTTTCAAATGCTGTTCACATTTCCTACTCCAGTTGTATTCATTTCTATAATAGTGATGAGAACTATGGAAAGCTTTCCAAGCCATGTCATCACTCGGTACAAAACTACCTTCCTAACACTTCCAGGCTCAGAATGGGTCCTCAAAAATAGAATTTACATTGCCAATTTTATATATAGGTAATTATAAAATAAATGATTTTTTATAGCAGAATGAATTTTCTTGTTGAGAGGGGTTGATACCTATAGGTCAGAGCTACACTTTAAAGATCACTGTAGCTATACATTATATATAGGTGCACTGAATAAATGATAATCATTTGAAAATATCTCAGGGTACAATAATAAAAGTCAATTAAGATGATTTCTACCAACTGGTACCACAGAATTTAATTTAGTCTTATATGTTATTATCTTGAGACCAACAAAATTCATAATTCAAAATGATTGTTCTCCATGAGACAACTGGTTTCAAATACTCATTTTTTAAAGATTCTATTCTCTGCAACATGAAGTGTGATATTTTATTCTGTATCAGTTCCACATGACCTATATTTAATGTCAGGAAATAGAGACTTGTTAAACTAACTGGTATATTCTTTTTTACTGAATAGTAATTAATGAAGCATGTGAGTTGTTACAAAGCACCTATGGATATAATTGCAAAGCTATTTTCTGCTAGGCATTCAGAGAATAAAAGCCTGCAATACCAGAGCAGTGAATAAAATGTGTCCAAAATGAGTAATGGTTTGATGCACAGCTGCAATTCTGCTCCAGAAGCACAGATAAAACACCTTTCTGTAAAAAGCACGTCAGTACTTCAAAAAGGCTCTACACATCCTCCTGGTAGGGCCATATTTGTGTGGATGTCATGGCCATTGTGCATCTCTTGGCCCGCCTTTCTGAGGAGGCTGGTCCTCAACCTTGATCCACAGAACCGTCAGCCCAACTCATCCCTTTCCAGCTGCCATCACAGACCTATGTGTCAGTTTTTAAAAATGTTTATTTATTTATGTTAAAGGAAGAAGAGATGAGAGGGAGAGAGAGAGCGAGAGGGGAGAGGGGAGAGGGTAAATGAGAGGGAGAGAGAGAGAGACAGAGGAGAAGAGAGGGAGAGAGAGAGGGAGAGGGGAGAGGGTAAATGAGAGGGAGAGAGAGAGAGACAGAGGAGAAGAGAGGGAGAGAGAGAGGGAGAGGGAGAGAGAGAGATTGACTTTGATTTCTCATCTGCTGATTCACTACCCAAATGCCTCCAACATCTGTGACAGGATCAGGTCAAATCCAGGAGTCTGGAACTCAAAATGAGTCTCTCACTTGGGTGGTAGGGACCTAAGTACTTGTGCCATCATGTGCTCCCTCCCAGGGCGCACATGAGCAGGAAGCTGGAATCAGAAGCAGAGCTGGGATTTAAACCCAGGCTCTTCAATACCAGATGTAGATGTCCCAAGTGTCATTCAATTGCAAGGCTGAAAGTCCATATGGTTGTCAGTTTTGACAGTTGTGATAGTTGAGTGGAATCATTTACAATCATGTCTCCTGGCCCCCAAATCTTGGGATACACAATTAAAAGTAAGCCACTCTCACTTCCTGACTCATTAATTCACCATACTGCAATTCTCCCTGATTCTTCAGTGTCTTTGCCATTCTGACCTTTCTATATTCCAATTTAATAAGCCTCAACTCAGTGCTACAATCTTTCTTCTCTGCAACAACTACTTTTCTTAGCTCTTACTCCTTTTGTCTCTTTGCCATATACTTCAGCTCATTTCTTAACTTTAGAAAAAAATGAAAATTAGCAACCAGTAATGATCTTAAATTTTTTTATTATTTTAATTATACATATGTATGGGGTACAGTGTGACAACTCATTATATGCATTCAATGCGTGATGATCAAATCTGGTAACTAACATTTCCATCTTCTTATAATTTGCTCCATGTTTTGACTCTTTGAGCTCCTTTCTTCTACCCATTCATAAAGGATATAATAGGTTATTAGGAACTATAGCCACTCCACTGTTCTATGGAACCCCAGAATTTGTTTTTCATATCTGTATTTTGGTACTTACTATCCGCCCTTCCCAATCTCCAGTAATCACTATTCTATATTCAGGTAAACTTCTTTTTTAGTTTCCACAAATGAGAGAGAATACGTAGCATTTGCCTTTCTGACTCTGACTTACTTTTACTTAACATGACATCCTCAAGTTCCATCTATTTTTCTGCAAAGATATCATTCTTTTTTATAGATGAATAATATTCCATTATGCATATATACCATATTTCCTTTATTCATGCATTGACAGGCATTTAGTTTCA